CTATTCACGGTCAAGATTAGAAGGCTTAATTATATGAGAGTATGAGATATTTTGATCAAAAAAAAATTGAGAGTATGAGATATATGTTCTACCTAAAAAACAATGATGACCACCCTAATGAATATAAAAAACTATACTAAATTAATTTTTGTGGTCCATTCCTTTTATTGATCTTCCTGGATTTGCGAACTTTTTTAGCTTTAAGAAAACTATAATGGCTTAAAAAATGAGCTAAGCTTTAAGAAAACTATAAAAAAAAATATTAATAAGTTAACACTGTTTTAACTTTTGAATATTCAAGCGAAAAACATTATACCGTAGTTTCCTCGAGCGAAGTGCTATGTATTAAATTAGATTTCTATAGTTCTAGCGATGAAAGACCAGCATAATTGTCAAATGGACATTAGGTCCATCATTATCACCTTTTTCTTTTAAAAATACTATTAAAATGTTTTTTTACAAAGGTTATAATTTATAACCATCCATACCACAATACCAAATAGAAAAATATTTTTCATTGCAAGACATGGTCATAATAATCTAGAATATTAGATTAAACTCTTTTGCTTAGGAAGTAAAATTTTCAAAGACACATGTCAACGAATATGACACGCAAAAATTAGTAGTGATCAACATGTCAATAAGTCACCATCGAATTAATCAAAATATTTATTTAATTTCGTTGTTACATGAGACCCACAAACATATGATATGGGTCCCATCTTTTGTTCTTCAAACTGCCCAGAAAAATGCAGAATCATCCTTCTGAAAAATCCACTTCAAAAAAAATACCGACAACAAAAAGAGACATAAGAAGAAACAAACAGCTTTTCTTGTCTCTCTGTTTCGTCAATTAATCTTCATACAGTTCTTCAATAATCTCTCCAGGTACTACTGTCTTAATCACTCTTGTTCATATATATGAATAAACATGATGAAATTAGAGTATCATCATCTTCATCTAAATTTTCTTTTTGATTATAAACTATATAATACATGTTTGTTTAAGAAACACGAGTATGTCTAAAGTAAATAATAAACGCATGGATTCACGAAACCTAAATTCGGTTACATTTTGATATAAATCTATTAAAATAACAGACACACAAAAGATCAAACTTTTGATTTGGCAATGAATCATATTTCTTAAGAAAAAAATCCTTACTTTTTAATTTCACCTGATCTTTATGTAGACAACTAGATATTACAGATATGTGACTGTCTGGCTTGTATTGTTCCTTAGTCATTGATCCAAATCTATTGTTAAGACATTGGTAAATTTTTATTTCTTTTTCAAAT